CGGGAGCTAAATTATATCATTTAGCAAAGCCAATTGGTACCAAATAGCTCTTCTAAATGATACCAAATAGCTCAACTAAAGCTATTTGGTATCAGTTAGTTGGGCTATTTGGTACTAATTAGCTTTGCTAAATGATATCATTTAGCTCCCGAACATTTTTCCGCGGAACTTTTCTAGGTAACATTTTTCCTCCGAACCCCTCAAATCATTCAGTTTTGTATTTTGTTAAAATTTTATATGATTTTTGCGGTCATAAAGGAATTTATTAGTTACATATTCACACATAATGATTCTAGAGTTCAATACCTTTCCAACGATACCTAAAATGTCTAAATCGATTGGCCCGCTCGAAAAATGCAGCTCTTTAAAAATGTCATGTTATTTTCCTATAAAAGTCATTTGGTATATGTGTCGGTGCGCAAATTTGCGTACTCGATTCTGAACTTTTTGAAACTTTCTGTGATTAAAGTACATAAAACACTAAGACATACCCCGAACATATGCATATCGTTGGAAAGGTCTTGAAGTGATAGAATGGTGCCATTTTCGTTTCAAAAATTTCAATTTGGGTTGGCCAAATTAGCCAAAAACCAAAAAGTTATAGTTCGGCCGGACACATAAAGGCCATTATCTCGAAAGCGAGCCCAACTCGGTCCATTGAAAATTTCACTGATTTTAGGCCCAAGTCTAGTTGCTTTATAAAAACACGAACACTTTAGTTGATTGCAAATGAATGTCATAAATGACATAATTTGTATGTCATGGATAAAACTTAGTTTCATTTTTAATTTAATTAAAATCAACGATACAATCATCTATTCTAATGATTATATATAACTGAAAACTGAATGAATGTGAATAAATAAATCATAATTGCTCCAGCCAGCTATGAAAATAAAAAAATAAATTACTGGCCATTCCCAGTTCAATGTTGAAATTAACGTTTTTACTTTGAGAAAAGTTCCGTTGTGAATTTGAAAAAGTCCTTTTACATTCAATGGAATTGAATTATGAAGTAATTGCAATTCTAATGTTTCCATCTAAATTACGAAATTTTTCATTAGAACTGAAAAATGTCTGTTCATTTTTAAGATTAACAATACGATTTCTGCATAAATATATATATAACCTTTATAGCTATCTCCAAACCTAAATGGCACATATTGATTTCATTCAAATGGCAGAAAATGTTGCTTGCCTACAAAAATTGAATGAACAATAAATATCAAATTAAAAAACCATTCGCAATTTACCGTAGCCAAATATGCATTTGCAGACCGGAATAAATAGAATATTAGTATTTGTGAATGTCCAAAAAAGGTTAATATCACTAAAAAGAAGATTCGATTGTCGTTAAAATCATTTAATAAAAATTCATTTTTTCTCACCGATAATTTGTATGGTCGAACATTTGTCATACACTGAATAGAACCAGTTCAATACGTTAAGAACATAATAGAAGCCGAATAAAATAGAAGACACATGTGACCACCCAAAAAACACATTCATACATTCAATCATTTTGGTGATATAATGGTAATATTCTTGTATCCATTTCAATCGCTTTGATGCGAATGAACTTGTAGTGTCTATGAAATGCATTTCTTTTTCGATAATTTTCAATTGTGCGTGAACAATTTTCAAACAGAATATATAATAAAATAGTCTGATCTGACAAATAGACATCAAAATGAGAACTACAGATAATGCATTCATGTTTGGCAATGAGTTTATCGTGTAGGACATTAAAGAAAACAAAACCGTTGAAATTGAAATGAATTCGATGAATTGAACTAAATAAATGTGAAATGATAGGTTTTGGACACAATAAAAGTCATCAATTTGTTGAAGTATATTCCAGAAATCTCGATGCTCTTGACGATGAAGTAATGCATCTAAAATAATTAACCAATAAGTATATAGTTCAATAATATATTGTATTAGTTCATTTATGGTCTCCAGTAAGCTATAAACGGAAGTCAATTCAACAATCAAACGAAACTGGTATAATGTAAAAACTGCAGCAAATACGAAATGAGTCACAAATATGAAAAATTGAATTTTCCTATTTCTGGATAAATGAGATGATCCAGAATTGTAGCCACAGATATCGAAAAAGTTTAAAATGCACACAATTTGTTTTGAGATCATTTTTTATATATTCGTTGCAGATTCTACCAAAGGTAATACAGCGATTGCTTTAGTAAAAATATGAACGCGTGGAAAAATATCGGTAATGAAACTAATCGTCGATGTTACCATTTCGTAAAAATAAATATCTAATCTTGCATCTAAAATTAATATTATATAATCATTGATTATTAATCAAATGCTCACAATAAAAAACAACAAAGAAATTATGTAAATGAAATGGGAACTATATGGTGACTTTCGATATTAATGAAGTACATTTGTAATAATCAGGCATTATCATCAAGCTATGGATATAGTCTATAGCGGCTGGTATTTAATTACATACTCTACATTTGAATGCATACAAACTGAGTGTATACAAACGAGAGAGATGAAGAACTTAACGCACATTATGCAGAAGCGAAAAATATCGCAAGCGCACGAGTTAAATGGCGTCTTTAAAATAGCAGCCGCTACCTCCATAGCTCGAGTATAATGCATTTCTAGGGTAATTTTGGGGCGCTCTATCGATTTGGAGGGCAGGTGATCCAAAAAAATTCTCTCATCATTCTGAACAACATTATAGTGCAATATAGTACATAATTTTTTGGTCCGAGCATTAAATTGGGGTATAGAACCAGTTTGGGTAAAGATAGAGGAGGGTGTAACAGGCCGGCTGAAAAGTTCGTAGGCTGACACATAGATGGCGTTACTAGAATTAAATCCATATGTGTTTCTTATTTAAGTAGGCTGGCTTTGCACTTGCTTTTTGCGCTGTCTCTTTATATATTTGGTTTTTGCTCTCATAAAATTTGTATTAGTATTATTTGCAGCATGTTCTGTATGTTATTGTTTTCTTCTAAGGCCGTCAAATGTCAATCTCTTTGGTAATATCATATTTTCAATACCCTAGAGGAAATTACATAAAGTTTTCCCTTCCCCTCGCGCATGTATGCTAGAAATGATAATTGCTACATAAACATACAACCAAGATGTGACCTAGTTTTGTTTATTGCTACATTCGATCTTTTTATTGGTGAAAATTAAAACAAGACAGTTAGAAAATGGAACTTTTGGTCGTAGACTCATGTTGAAAATCTTCCAAAATCGACATTCATCTCAAAATAAAAAGCTAAATATCGCGAACGCGATTGATAACCAAATTCTGAAAATACATGCACAAATTATCCACAAAATATTATAGCAGGTTTCACTTGAAAACTTTAAATTGAACTTCTGGAGACTGATCAACCATACAGAATATCAGTTCAATACTATATGAATCATAATTTCCATTTAATTTTGCAAAACTCATTGGGCGTGCAGCTTAAAACAGTTGCTACTCTTCACTTGTGGCTGGTAAATATTAAACAAAAACCTGTTTTTTCAATTACATAGAGTGTAACCACGCAAAGTACAAACAAACATCTGTTTGTAGACTATTGTTTGACTCAATGTTTTCATTCGATACAAGTTAAATTTTGAAAATCCAGTCAAATATTCTTGTGAGAAAATTCAAAAATTCTTTTAAAAAATTGAGTTAAAACATTTGAACGCATGTGTATTTCATAAATTTGAATTAAATTTTATTGTATCTAAATATTTATTATGAATAATAACTAGTAATAATATCTCTTTGATCTAAAATATATTATATTATTCGGATCACCGCGATTAACAGGTCTAAAAAAGATTGTAAGAATAAGAAAGAAATATTGAGATGTGAAACATGTAAAGTGTTACATATTGTCTTTAAACAACTATTATACAACTATATATTACCCGCAGTCTCTAATAATTTCAAATCCGGCTTCCTCGGCTATTTCATTCAAACTGGGTGATGTGAAGTAGCTTGCTGCAACTTCTAAGCCGTTATCTTGGCAAACTGGTTCAGTGGCCAAAAGAAGCTGCTTTTTAATGCCATAGCGACTGTATTGTGGGGAAACGTACATACTATCACCACTCAAATATTCGTTTATCAGATGATGTTCAAATATACTGAATCGAGGTATCAATTCGTATTTACGTGTGTGGTCATTTGGTTTCTTTTGATTTTTCTGTAAAGAAAATTAATCAACTAAATTTTATCAAGAAATTCTTGACAATACTATTTTTTAGGTAAATATGTTTGTTTTGCCTTAATTTACAGTTTTCACTTACATTTAGCATTAATATACCAATAATTTCTTTTGATCCTCGCTTAAAGCAGGCCACTGACAGTTTTTCGGATAGTTGATTGCGCCATACCCGTTTCATTGCTTCAAGGCCACTTGATGCTAAATCTTGTGTTTTATACACTTTTATTAATATGATTTTAGAATGAAAATATAAAATGTGGAATAAACAATACATACAGGAAGCACTCAATGCCTCTTCATTCGAATGTTGCGCTAATATGTGCACTACATCTTCAAACTGTGATTGTTCGATATATCTTATATCAAATTTAATGATTTTATTGCGGCCATCCTCAACGTCAAATGTCAGCAAATTTCTATCTCGACCCCTCTTCAAATTGGATGAACTGGTAGGTGAAGCTTCTAATATACTCAGCGCTAAAATGCTGAAATATATCGAGATGACTATTTTTCGATTTAACATTTTTATTATTGAAGACTCGCCAATCTTGATCCCTATTGCTTATCAAAAACAATTGTGTCAACTTACTAAGATTTATATACACAAAGCTCATCATATTTTTAAAATTCTTTACCTTTTTTTATAAATTGAAAACATGCAGCAATTACGTGAAAATTGAGAAGATATTTCGTTCAAATATTTATTATTCGAATAATTCAAAACAACATTTACAGACAACGCGATGAGTGAAAAAATGTCCACGAATTTCGCATTATTCATAACTTTATACAATATACATGTCATTGTCTTCACATTTTTTTTGTGTATCAATTAGAACAATACTTTGACGTCAAATGGATTAGATGAATTTTTCCAACACTTGATTGACGTCAGAATGCGACTCGTTATATCTATATTAGGGCGGGTCAATTTTTTAAGAGGTCTGGCTCAGCGAAATTCGTAAAATACATGTAATTTCAAGACTTTTTCTCCACTAGAGCATATATAAATTTTCAAATTTATCTGTGCCAAAATTGACAAATAGTTTTTTTCCCAAATTATAAAATATGAAAATATAAAATTTGAAAGTGATGAAAAAATTGTATAAAAAAGATCATTTGTACTGACATTTCTAAGGTAATTTTGGACGCTGAATCCGAATCTGGCATTAAAAATACTCTAAATTCAACTATCAATAAAAAAAACGTGATTTTTGACCAAAAAATCAAAGAAATGTAGCGAAATGTTCGTTCTTGCAATTGTTGGCTCATTTTCAAGGCTTGATTCGGATTCAGCGGCCCCAAAAACCCTTGAAATGACTGTTCAAACCATAATGAATGATAAATTATTTTTAAAATAAAGAGTCTTACGGGAGTAAGACGAACTTTTCCGCACGGTGGTAGTTGCGTATTTTATTAAGAAAGTTCAAAATAATATATTTGTTCGATTTTTCAAGCCATTCAAGCGGCGTAAAGTTCGAGACCAAAAAATATGTTCAAGCCTTGGCATCGAAATATTCTTTAATTTAATAGCAGAAGTACTCGAGAAAAGATTTTTCACACTTTCATGATGAAACCATTTGTACGACATTTGAAAGTATTCTATTTTCTAACAAAATACTATAAAAATATGTCTGACGTTAATTTTGCCATAAAGATTATTTTTGAAACACTTTTCATAACTAAAGTCACAACAAATTTGGATTTTTGTATGGGAGCCATGTCTGTATGCTACCTTAATGGCGTGAAACTTTGCACAGGTTATTTTTTTCACAAATAACATTCGGAGGGTTTGGAGAAATTTCAACCAAAATCAAGAGTACCTCCCATACAAAATATTCGTTTTTGAGCCAATTGAAAATTTTGTATGGGAGGTACCCCTAATTTTAATTGAAATCTCTTCAAATTTTCAGAATGTTATACTTTTGTGTAAAAAATAGTCTGTGCAAAGTTTCACGTCATTAAGGTAGCATACAGGCATGGCTCCCATACAAAAATCCAAATTTTTTGTGATTTTTTCAAG